AAAAGGGGGGGGGGGGGGAGGAGAACAAAAACTGTATTGCTTCAGCTTTTAGGTCTTAATCCAGCAGTGCTTTCACAGGGGAGCCTTGTTTACATCACCGAGGATGCTGGGCTGGCAAGAAGGTGCATCTCCTCCGGGTTACAAGGGAAGGATGTCTCTTGGTGTGCTTGAGAAGTGCCTGCACGCCCCGGGCTGTGTCAGTGGGGGACACGCACCACTTGCAGGAGCAATCCCGCTTGCCATGGCTCGGCTGCCGTCCAGCCGCGGCTCCGACGCTGACAGCCCTCCCGCCTGGGAGCATGTTTCGCTCTGACCCAAAAGCTCTCACCTGTGCTTATTGCTCATCGTTAACAAGAAACTCCTTCAGATTTCAGTGGTGCTCCTCCACATTTTGACGCTGCTGCCCTCCCTCCTTGTTGCCTCCAGTTCTTGTGTATCCTGTAAAGCCACTGGAGAGACCTCCCCTGAGTTTTTGATGGACGCAGTGACCAGCACTGACGCTCGGTTCCTTGAGGTTGTGAAAGACTAACAGTAGGTAACAACTCAGAGACAGGGCAGCAGAAACAGCAGCTGAAGACACCTCTTCGCTCCTGATCCAACACCTGTGAGCAAAACCAAACGATTATGTCAAGCTGGGGTGATTGTTTTATTGACATATTAAGCGAGTCTTTTGTTACACATTGTACATGTGAGCCCTGTAATGGATAAACTGTATGCAGTCACGTCCTTCAAGGAAAGCTATGAGTTTATTGCTAAAAATAAGTATTTCAGCCAGCTAAACATAAGTGGGCACAGACAGGTAAATATTTTTCAAAGCAATAAAGGGACAGAAGCATATGCAAACTCATATCTTTCTTGTGCCCTGCCTAGTTTTCTGTGTTCCTACACTTTCTTTCGAATTGTCCCATTCCATTTTAAAAGCTCATTTGTTCATTTTGTTGTAAATATCTTCTTCTTCTTAATTGGGTGCTGAGTCTAATAATCCTGCCTCGGCTTGTTAACTGTACAATAGCAGTCAGAGTTAATGACCCATTAGTGATTAATTCCTTAAACAGCATCTAATTGCTCACTGTAAAACCTTTTCTTAAAACTGGATTAAATCATCTAGATCCTTAACCACTTCTTTACTCTAACTTCGTTAAGGCTATTAGCCTGGCCTTTTCCGAGTGATCTATTTCTTCTTTTGCTTAGACTGTATTAGCAAGACAGTATTTTTAGTGTCTGTATTTGACTTCTTTGCAACATCTGAAGTGCTAAGGACAAGACTGCCTGTGACAATATGAAGAAAGGTACTCCTTTGGAATGAGACAACTGCAGACAGTGACTGTCCATATGCTGCCCATGGCCCACCACTGCTGGGAGAGGTGTAGGTGTAGGACAGGGTTCGTGAGCGGTTGTGGCTACCCACGGAAGCGCGTAGGTGCTGGCAGGTGAAGCTGTAAATGCTTCTTAGGGTTTTCCCAAGAGTAACTGGGTCTTTGCTCAGTGTCCCGAATATGGGGCAGTGGGCAAGGGCTGTGGCTCCTCTGGGGGATGGCTCCCTGGAGGGGAATCCTTGCTACTCTTCTGTGGGTACAGAGCCCTGCTCCTGGGGTTACCACACCTCCCCTCTCGACACAGGGCAAATGACTCAGGGGCCAGGGGGGGGGAAACCTTGCTGGGGATGGAATGGAATGGAATGGGATGTCCTCTTTGCATTTGCTTCAAAGTTTTGGAAAAGTGAAATCAAATCACCATCTCTGCATCTACTTCATCTGTAGCAATGTCTTCACTGGCAAATGAGGTTAATCCTGGGTGATTTCTCATTAAGATGTGAAAGGCAGAGATTGTTTTTTGTGAGAAGTCTTTCCATTAGGCCTGGCTGTCTTTGCCCAGCCCAGAAATCCCAGCTGTAACATCCAAACGTGTAAGATTTTGCAGAGGGCAGCAGCACAAGCTATGCAGGAGAGAAGGCAATCGCCATAAAGAGCTCTGGAGATCTCTGAATTAATAATTATGAGGAAATGCCATCATGAAACTCGGTCTCAGTGGCATGATTTCTCAGCAGAAAGTATTCTAGTCTGTCTTCCTTCCCACCCCTGTTCAAAATCCTGTCAGTATTCAAGAAAACCGGCAGAGACACCTGACCTATATAAGCCAAGGAGGGTTTTGGCACAGAGTTCAGCTCAGAGGCTTTCCAGTGGAGCGAAACTGGCTCTCTGTCCAGGGCTGACCCTCAGTCCCTGCTGGATGGGGTGAGGAGAAGCTGTCATCCCCTCTGGAGCCGTGGGACGGCTGAGTTTGCTCCACGGCCACACCGGGTCACAGCCCCTGTGAGGTGAAAACACGCAGAGCTCGGTCACAAATTTCTGTTCTGAGCTGTTGGGGTTGAGGGCACTGCTGTTCCCTTCCTCTGTTGGGGATGTGTCAATGTCTGCAGGCGAGAGTTGAAGGATCTTCTTTCCATCTGCCTCAGCTACATCTGACAAGGGTTTCAAGTAAGAACATTTAGTTACTTACTATCAAAGAATCTCACGTACCTGGTCAAAGCTCCTGGCTACATCTTTTCTTCAGTTCAGTCTGTTGGGACATAATATGAAGTGCAACTCCCACAAGCACTAACTCAAGGTGTTTCCCTTCAGCTACACTTCCCTTCCCAAGTGTTTTGGGGCTGGACACTGAAGTTCATTCTTCTATGCAGTCAGCATCTTCCTGTGTCACCGATGCTGTGGGTTATAAACCTCTAACTTCCTTCAGCAGTTTGTTCACCACAGAGTACCCATTTACAAAATAGTGGAATAAAACAAACAAAAGAGAGAAGAGTGAAAAGCTGGTTAGACCAGGACGCCGGTCACTCTGATAACATCACCCTTTTTTTCTGGTAGAATGAATACTGTGTCTCCTCTCTCTGAGCATCTCTGTGTTCTGCCAGTGCATGATGTGAAAATTGGCTGACATTTGGCAGTCATCCCTCTGTCATATGACATTTCTGCCCCACTAAGAAGTGTGAAATCAGCTCTGAAACGTTTGGTTCTGTGTAGAAATGCAGCTAAAGTCAGCTGGGCAAGACATTCCGGAGGGACTTTAAATGAAGGCAGCAGAAATTTGGATGGAGGCAAGAAGAGGTAAGAACTGCAGCTTTGGCCAGAAGGGAGGGTTAAGGTAAAGGGGATGGTGTCCCAGTGCTGACCGGTGCGGGCCGCTCAGGTGTCCCTCCTCCGACTCCGTCTCAGCAGAGGCAGGTGCAGGCGGTAAAAGGCTCACCAGCAGCTTGTTCTTGCTCAAATGCCTTTGCATTGTCTTTGGGCACGGTGGCAAACAGGGACAAAACCAGAGAGGCAAAACTGAAAAAGATAAGCATTTTAAAGTTATAAAAATCCCGGGACGGCAATTAAATACACTGGGTATTCCCTTTGGCTGGCGTAGGTTGGGATGTGGAGATAAATCACGTTTATCCCGGAACTCAGGGCATCTAGGGTGAAGCACGCAGGTAATCACTGGTTGTCTAATTGACTTTATACCCAACGGGGACTGCAGTTTTTCTCCCCAACGGGGACTGCAGTTTTTCTCCGCAGTTGTGCCAGAGCAGCCCTGCAGGTCTGACCGGAGTGCTGTGGGGGATTCAGCTGGACGTGAACCAGCCCTCACCTCCGCTCGCTGCTGCGCTGCGACTAAGTCGAGAGGAAATGAGAAGTGGAATTAGAATTGCATAACGGCGCGGGGATTAGCGGGGCGGGCGTCACGTCCCGATGCCATACGTGCCTCGGGGCAGCAGCCCGGCCTCCGCTTTGGGCAAGAAAAACCGCTTCTCGGTGGAGTCTGAACCCCGCCGTGCCCCGCTGTTCCCGGAGGCGCCTCCCCGCGCACCCCCCGACGGCCGCGGGACCACCGGCTGCTTCCCCGGGCCGGTGACCATCCCGGCCGCGCAGCTCCCCCGCGGCTGCGGGCACCGGGCACCGGGCGGAGGCGGGAGGGCGGGCGGCGGCGCGAGGACACGCCGCGCGGGTCGCCTCCCCGCCACCGCGGGTCGCCCGTCCCTGGTCCGAGGGCGCCCCCTGGTGGAGGCGGCCGGGACGGCCTCTGCCGGGGCTCGCAGCCGGACGGACCCCCCCGGCAGGCCCGGGACCTCCAGCGCCTTGTGACGGCCCCTGGGCTGGACAGGGCGCTTGAAGAACGTAGTTATTGGTGCCAAGACACGCATTTGATTAATTCACCTCCGCTTCCCAGAGTGATTGAGGTGGGCAGGGACCTCTGGAGGTCACCTTGTCCTACCCCCCCGGTCTCATTGGTGAGACCCCCCTCCCCGAGCTTCTCTGCTCCAGGCTGAACAACCACAGCCCTTCCTCAGAAGAGAGATGCTCCAGCCCCATCGTCATTGTTCGTGTCCCCTTGCTGGAATCTCTCCAGTTTGTGCGTGTCCCCTTTGTACTGGGATGCTCAGAACTGGACTCAACACTGTGGGGGTGCTGAGCAGCATCACCTCTTTACCTTCTTCTCCTGCTCCGTTGAACTGCGCATGTCGTCCTCACCATCTTGTCTGACAGTGCGCTCCTTGGAGGAAGGGTGGCAGCACCTTCTCTCCTTGCCTGGGCCTCTGATGGTACCACTGCCCAGGCCAGAGAACCCCAGGTGAGCAAGGAGCATTGCTCAGCTACAGTGTGCTGAGCCCCACAAAAGATGTCACCAGCTCCTTCTCCTGGGAGACAACGTTCTTCCTTTGGTCCCACGTGGACACACAATGGTACCGGACCTGCTCACACATGGTGAAGAGTGTGTGGTGAGAACACATCACCCGGAGGCAGAGGGTCTCTCAGCAGGTCTCGGGGCTGCCTGTGTGTGGAAGCACTTCTCCTGCCCTGTCCTTGGCCCACCGACACCTCGGGAGGGCAGCAGCAGCTTCCCTCTGCTGAAAAACCATCACAGACCAGGGAGCGATTCAAGAAGGAGAAGAACTTCAGTGGAAAATTAATCACCCGGTTGTTTCTTTGTCACTAGCTGCGGCACAGCCCATTTCCATTCTATTAATTCAAATAAAAGTATAAACTCAGCCTTTTTATTGGTACTATTTATTGCGAATGTTGAAATGTCATGTGGTTTGGAACTAAGAGATGAACTGATTAGATAGGTAAGACATATAATTAATTGGAAGACCCTTCCGTGACAATTATATATATCAAAGCCATTCAAGTGAGAAAAATTAATTGAAAATGAAGTGGAGAGTTTAGTCATTGCTGAAACATACAAGAATATGTGTATTTAGATATTTTACACAAAGGGAATCTTGTTTACAGAAAAGAGACCTTGTTGATTATCTGATACAATCAAGTGCTTGTGAAATATAGTCTCTTACGGAAAGTGTTCCATTTCTTCATGATTTAGAGACCTTCTTTCAGCTTGGAGTGCCCTCTTTCATATTCACAACTTGAAGCAGATAGTCCATCATCTGATAAAAAGAGAAAAATATTATTTATACTCCAGTCCTGAAAAAAGCAATTCACTAAGTTAATAAGCCTAATATATATCCCCTCTGTGTATTCACATAACAAACACTTTCCTAATAATCTTTCCAAAACAGACCTCATTTGTCTTGGTTAGTGCAATAACCACTGCCAAAGTACCGGGAAAATCATTCTCCCAAACAATTCTGTCTGCCATCTCATTTATATAGTGTCTCATTAGTGTTAAAAAGCCAAGTCCTAGGAACAATTTAAAGCTTATTTTCTAACTTACTTTTACACTTAGGCCAACTAGCAGGACAGATTTCCCTTCTGATCTTTAACTACTTTAACTGCAATTTATTCACAGAATGAAGAGCAGGCAAGATCTTCATTTGCCTGTTATTAATTGAAAACAGGAAAATAACTCAAGTGCACCACTCTAAGCCCAATTCCCAGAACTATTATGTTTGTCTCTTTGGCTTTTCTGACTATTTGTGTGTTGCGGCACTTTGCCTACCCTGGGCGACTCTTTCGGGAAGAATTTTCTTGTTCTTGAGAAGCACAGAGTGCAGTGTGAGCTTTAGTGGGGACTGATGCTCTGGATGAATTTGAGCTAATAAGCAAGACCCTGGATCGTTACCTGAAGTACATGTCTGGATTTACTTCCCCAGCCCCTAGCTTTGGGGATTCCTGATCTTCAGTTTAAAATTCAAAGCTTAATTTAAATCAGCTAAATCTGAAAGAGTCCACCAAACAACATCCTCACAGCACCTTTCCTCCCCACGCAGCTGGTCCTGGCATGCGTCCGGCAGACGGGCACCGGGGGCTGCAGACACCGACAGAGACCCCCCACCCCGTGGTTGGGGTCTCCATGAGCGCACCCTGGGTCCGGGGGGTGGCAGCCCCTGGGATGCAGTGGGCAGCAGGGCTCACGATTCACCTCTTTTTGGTGACATTTCAACACCTCAACCCAAGAGGCCATTTCACAGCCAAGAGCGACCTGCTGGGAAAACGCTGCTGCTTCCTCCTGGAATCAGCTTCTATTTCAAACTCCAACACAATGTGGCCGGAAAAGTATTTAATGCCAAGCACAAACTCCTCGTATGCGCTGCACCACCATCACAGACCCCCCTCACATCCAGAAAAATCTACAGAATCACAATCCAAAGGTCATTCATGCTCTTGCATCGCTGTGCACGTGTGACTGAATTTCACTTGTACCAGAATCTCACCTTTATAAACAAACGAGGTGCCCTTTATTTAAAATAACAATTATCATTATGGAAATGTTTAAGAAACAATCACGACCCTCAAAAAAGTAAAGCACATCCCTTTCGATCTTCAGATCTTCTTCACCTGGAAGGCAGATCTCAAAATTAGCTTAACCTTCAGGTGCTGGGTTTTTACTTTCCGAAGCCAAAGGAGAAGCAATCCATCACATCCTACCCCGGCTGTGGGTAACCAGGTACCTGTGCCCAGCAGCAGGAACCCTCACCTATTGCTTTCACAATTATGTTTTACTTCACGATGGAGACAAAGTAACTGCTGGATGCTGGGAATCAAAAGTTCTATGGTTCTGCAAGTTGTTATATATCTTAGTTACATGAAAGACATGATTTTTTTACTAACCATTGGAGAAATCTGGGCATTTAAGGCAATAATCTCGTTATTCCACATACATTTGCAATGTCTGACCACAAAAACGTGGATATTAATTTGGGGTAAAAGTACACGCATGCAGATATGATTCAACTTACTGCAGGCAACTTCCAGCCTTCACAAGTATGATTTATTACCAGATACTTTTCGAAGTAAAAATATTTCCATTTTTACATGGCATAATGGAATTTCTTCATCTAATTTGATTACAAAGCTGCACACTGCAGAGCTGAAGATGAGGTAAATAGTTTTCTTTTTAGATAGTATAAACCACAGTTATTATAAACAACAGTGTCATAAAGCCATAGCCAGAAAGAAACCTACGGACAGCATTCATATTGGTGCTGTAAGAGACTTAAATCAGGGCTTTATTTAATGGGTAGTATTTTTACCCTTATTCAAGTCAAAACCGACTTCATTTCACTTCATTTCAGAAGGAACATTGGGCTGAAGTTAGCCCAGGAATATTAATGATACCATATTACAGTAAAATATGGGAAGAAAAAAAAAATCTTCCCATTAATGTCTTTAAAAGGGCATATTAATCTTTTTATTCTATTTCAATGTCACCCACAAGAATTCTGCAGCTCTATCAACATTACTGTACCTGGTGCACTATAAAGTTTTCTAGCAAATTCTGCAATTTACATTATGTTTACTGATTACTGACGATTACTTTCAGTAAAACCTCACCAATACCCTTCCAAGTGCTTTTTGTAGGGAGACACTCAACATGATGTGGCTTTATAGACAATTTGCCTTCTCCCCGCCCTCTGGACTCGCTGGTTCTCACACCAGCTTGTTCCTGCTGGGTTAATACAGAACTCGGGGCTGATGTGCTCATCGGAGCGGGAAGTGCTGGAGAAGAGAAGGATGGAACGACCAAGCAACTTGAAGGGAATGCAGACACTGAGAGTTTATGCCCGGTAGCAGATTAATTCATAGAAAGTACTGTGTGTGAGTGACAATCTGTAATCAAGAGCAGAGCCTTACTTTACGCAGTGACTGGTGCGCGAGATGCATTTCTGCTACTTTTCTGGACAATCCACAAATTAGAGGAAGCTGATATGTTACCGTAAAATTAAGTGTGAGTACACGGAGGGTTTTTTACAGGTTTTATCTTACTTACGTCTTTCCAGCTGCTATTGTCATCTGTCTCCCATGTGTTCCTGCCATACCAGGGAAGCCCTCCTTTTAAAAAGTGAGCACTTTTATTTTCATTCCCTTCCAGCAGCCGTAGCAAGTATTTTGAGATTTCTTCCCACTGCAGGTAGTCTTCCAGCTGCTTGATATTTTCAGGTAATGCTGAAAACGGGGTCTTGTTTTCTTCTTCATAAGCATAAGGAAAATCTCCAGTGCTCTTTTTCCCCATTAAATGTCCTGTAAGAACAATGGCAGTAGCGTGAAATTAACCAAAACAGTTATAGATTTGATTGTTCCAACGTCAGCTGCGAGCTGTTGCTGACTGATATTTTGGAGGGGAGGGAAGGGGCCAGATGCTGTCAGAGCTGAAGCACAACTGGGACTGGAGATTTTGTCACTGTGTCACACACACAATCAATTTCCTCTCGTCTCTTACACTACCTTGTCAGAGAAGATGTTGCCGAGACCAGGACAGAGACAACAAGCATTTTCCCAGCAGAGGCCCCCGTTAAGATTTGCTGGAGTAAGAGGTGGGTGGAGAAGTGTTAAGTTTTAGACTTTCCCTGCCTTGACACGGGATGTAGGGAACCGTAACCCTGGGTTCCAGTGCCTTTCTAGGAGCTGAACTGGAGCCACTTTTGATATGCCGTGCCTTACGGTCACCGGAGCTGGCTTCAGGCTGCAAAGGCGGCTCCTGGGAAGGGCAGGGGGACGGGGGGCACCGGAGAAGCCTCCCCAGTCCGGGCTGAGCGCCGGGGTCCCGGCTGGACCAGGCCCCCCGAGGTGCTGGCTGCGCCCTGAGGGGCTGGGGGTCCCGCCCGGCTGCCGTCGGGCTCGGGCTCCTGGTCTCTGAGGGGAGGTCGCGGCAGGAAACAACCGCCAAATAAACGCCTCAAGGGGAGCGGGAAAAGCCGCGGGACCCCGCACCCTCTGCCCCGCACACGGGCGGGTTGCCGGGCCGGGACCCCGGGGAGCGCCCAGGACCCGGCGCCGCCGACCGGTACCGAGGAGCGACCGTCGGGGCCGCGCTCCGGCGGCTCCGGGGCACACGGCGCCGGCGGGAGGGGATCCGCGGCGCGGAGCCGAGCGGCACCGGCGGGGACACAGGCACCTGGAGGCGACCGGCACCGCGGGGCGGCTCCGCCGGTAGCCCGGCGCGGCGGCGACGGCTACAGTCGCGACCCTGTGCTGTCCCCGCGCTGCCCCCGGAGGCACCGGGAGCCGTCGGGGCGAGGCGCGGCCGGGACCGGCCGGAGGGAGCGGGGTCCGGTGCGGCGGCGGAGCGTCCGGCCGCGGTGGGGACGGCGACTTACCCACAGCCCAGTGGCTGCCGCGGGGGTAGATCTTGGTGAGCCCGGGGGACCCGCCGGGCTGCAGCGGGGCCGCGCCGCCCTGAGCCGCCAGCAGCGCCAGCGCCAGCAGCGGCAAAGCTCCGGGACGCCGGGAGCCACCGCCGCCGCCCATCCTACCGCTGCCGGTGCCGGTGCCGCCGAGCCGCCCTCCGGCTCCGTCTGGGCGAAGCGCTGCCGCCGCCGCCGCCGCCGCCGCCCATTTATACGGAGCCGGGACCGGGCGAGAGCGGAGCTCCAGCGCCTGACGCCTCCTCACGGGGACGGGGATGCGGCCGCCCCCGGCCCCCCGTGGGTGGCTACCGGCAGCCCCAGCCCCCCCGCCCGCCTCCCCGCTCCCGCCGGGGGGGGGTGGCGGCCCCGGGGCTCAGCCCGGCGCCGCGGAGGACTAAGCCCCGCCGTCGCCAACCGCTCGACGGGCTTTGCCCGGTCGCGCCATCGTTCCCCGCTCCTGCTGGTCCCGTCCCGGGCATCCCTCCTGCCCCGACCGGCCTCGGGCTGGGTCCCCCCCCGCCATCCCCCGGGCCAGGCCACTGCCATACTTCTGGAGAGACCGGCCGACGTGTCCCTCGGGGTTATTTTTCTCGGTTACGTTCACAACACGGAAGTTTGTTTTTTCCCTCACCTCCATTCGTCTCACCTGGGGCGCTGAGGTGGCCCGGGGGGCTGTGAGGGGCCTCTGAGACGGGACGGGCGCTGCTGGGGGTGCCCGGGTGACCCGTCCTCACCTCCTGCGGGGTCAGCGACAGCCACCGCGGCCGCGCTGCGGGAGCCTGAGGTTTGCCAGGGGACACGGGGGCTTTGGCAAACGCGGAGGAGGTGGGCGAGGGGGGCACACGATGGCACCGTGTGCTCTTACCCTCCACCCTGTGGGGCCGTGTGTCCTGGTGCTAAACCTGACCCGGTAAAGAGGCTTTCCCGGTGTTGCCACAGACGGCTGGGGCAGGGAGCCAGGGTGATGTGGTTACACTCCTGTGACAGGAGCTGTTTTTCGGAGGAAGAAGGTCCTATTGAAATGAATCCAGCATGGAAATGTTCACGGAAACGGCTTGCTGCTCTAGGCTGAAATGACCGAACAGGCTGAAAAATTTTTACAAGAGCTTGTCGGGGAAAAAAGATGCTGTTTAGAGAACTCTGTCAGGAGGCAGGATGAGCAGTTAACAGATGACTGTGAGGAACTTGCCAGATCCTTCAGCTAACCCTGCACGACTGGAACTGAACGGTACCCCGTGGAAACTACCGTGGATGTGAATTAACATAATTACTGGGCAAACTAGTACAATTGTGTGTCCTACTGTATGAGCTAAATTGTTCCCTTGTTTAGTCTTAGTTTATTGCATCTTCTTTTACTGATTAATGTGATTCATTCTTTTATTTGGGTTATTAATTATGCATTCTTGTTCGATTTACAATAGTATTCTCATGCCTCAGTCACGGGTTTGGGTGTGCAGCCTGAGCAGTGGCGACACACGACACGTGCTGTGCTGAGCGAGGGCTGATCAAACACAGCATCGCCGCCCGGGAAACCCTAACTCTTCAGTGAGACTCGACTCAGGAAACCGAAAATTCAGGAAGCTGCCCATTTTCAGACACATCGCAAGCCCTGGGACTGGCCTTGCCTCCCTGGGCTGTTGTGCTGGACCCACTGTTATGGGTCAGCCCTCCCGGTGGCCTGGGGGGACGGTGGTGACAGGCAGTGCGGCACAGCCTGCCTGAGGGTGACCCCAGTTCCAGCCCTGGTCGCTCCAGAGCCACCAAAAAAGCCACCTTTCTCATAGCTTGTATACATGCTATGCCTTCATACATTTCAGGTGTTAAAGGCTACGCCTTCACATTGAATCTCATATTGTGCTGCCTTGAGCTGCTTTCATTTGCGATTGTTCCCCGTACACTCCCATTTTCGTACCTTGTATAATGGACTTAATGAAAGTTTAAATTAGCTTGACCTTTAGGTGATTAAAGTTACAGTGAAAGATACCAATCTAGAAAACTGATCAAATTTGGGGTTGAGTTTTCTTTTTAATTAAGATTAAAATTAAGGAGGGATATTTTTGCCAAGAAAAGCACGTTTTCAGGGTTTTGTCATAAAACAAATGAACATAAATTAAATCAACAAAAATCTCTTTAACTCCTCCAAACAATTGAACTGGATTATTTGAAGCAAGCCACAAACAAAAACTCAGTTTGAGGATTTTCTGTTTTTCTGGAAAAGAAAACTAATAGTTTTCCCAAACTAGAGCAACCCCACAGGCCTTTTTACCCCTTTTAGTTTTACCCTTGCTTTTGTACTGAGAGCCATCACGAGAGCCTTCTCTCCTCATTGTGTATGTTCAGTGGAAGTTTGTTCTTACTGTTTTCAAGAGAAACAGACCCTCGTAAAATCTTCGATCCCATAATTTGTGCAGGTCTCTCAATTCCTGCATACACAGAACCAACTGAATATTCCAATATGTCAATGTAGAAAGTGGCAAGAGCAGCAAATATGCCACAGCGGTGGCTGAGAGCCCCACCAAGACAGCAGTGAGGAACCAGGTAGAGCAGCAACTGCAGCAGCCCCCCCTGCCAGAACGGAGCAGAGACATGGTGCCTGCAGCCCCCCCGTGCACAGGACCCCCCCAGTCTCCCCCACCGTGTGGCTGTGGACGTGGCACCCACCACCATGTCTCTTCCCGGGGAGCCAAGAGCACATAGAGCAGATGGATGTGAGGTCCACGTGCCTCCATCAGCAGTGCCCTCTTGGATTAACCTCTTTTGTTAACCTTTTCACAAAAATAATAATTTCATAATACACAGAAATACTACGGGGGACCCTCCCCCCAACAGAGAAGGATGCAGGTACAACAAACACACGTTATCAACTGTGAGTCACTCGTTCGTCTGAGAGAACCTTTCCTTCTGGAGGAAGAAATCCGGTAACAAAAATTTGTGTTTGAGCATCAAGAAACACCTCTCCATTTTAAAATACCTTTCTATGTTTCATATATCCCGTGACAAAATGACCTACTATTGCGGTTCATGGCAGGAAAATATTAATGGGTTTTAAATGCTATTACCACAATAACACTCTTTAATTTCCTTCCTTTACATTTTAGACAACTATGACTGTTCTATCAGCACAGCAGGTTTTATGGAAATAAAAAGGGATAAAAGAAAAATGGTGTGCCTTTCATCATTTTCTTTGTAGCCCTCTTGTCATTAGAGACAGCTCTAATATATGTACAGAACAAACAATGGTTCCGGCGTATCACCGGTGTAATAACGGGGCACCATCGCTAAGGAATACTCTGTAAATGTTGAAGATGCTGAATAGACTGATCTCCAGCGCTTCCAACCCGCGGCCGGGGCGCGTGCTCGGCAAATAACCTGCAAATTGGCTCTCTGCAGCAGCAGCAGCTCCCTGAAGAACTGGAGACATTTTTCAGAAAAGAGCTCCACAGCTTTACACGGGCTGAACAATATGAAATAATAAACATCTATTTAATAAGGCACAGTTTGAGATACTTGATACTGTTTGTGCTGCATTTTAGGAAGCCCCAGACCTGGGCAGCAGAAGTGGAACTAAAGCCACCGCCTGTTGCACCTTCGGTGTCTGTCAGCGCGGCATCAGCCCTCGCATCTCCTGTGATTTCTGTGCTGGGGTTCGATATATTGGCAACTCAAATGGGAAGCATTGCTGTTTCTGAATTCTGGGGAAGGGTTGCTGGCTGGGCAAAGGCAGCCCCAGCTGGGTCCCTCAGCAGGGAGGGACCTCCCACCAGACCAGGTTGCTCCAAGCCCCCTCCAACCTGGCCTTGAACCCCTCCAGGGATGGGGCAGCCACAGCTTCTCTGGGCAACCTGGACCAGTGCCCTGCACCGTGCTCCCTTTCTGCTGGGAGGGCAGCTCCAGACTCTGCGGTGGCTTTCATATGTGCCCTGTGTCCATCTGCAGCAGCGTGAAGAGCCAAAATCCATCTGTGTGGGGAAGGGCTTGGGGAGCAGGTTGAGCTGCTCCTTGAGGGGTTCATGGTGGGGAAAGGGGTCATTGTCCCTGGACAGTCCCAGCCGTTCCAGCAGGGTTTCCCTGGGAGCTGGGGCTGGGATAGTGCAGGAACCAGGAGGCGACTCATCTGCCCCTCTGTTAGTTCGCAACTAAATCTATGGAAAATAACCATCCAGGAAATTTAAAACTACAAGTCTCAGCCGCTCCTCACAGGACCTGCCTTCCTGCCCCTTCAGGGCTTGGCTGTCCTCCTCTGGACAAGCTGAAGAACCTTCACATCCTTCTTAAATTCTAATCACAACATTACATGCTATAGTTGGGAAACCCCACAGCTCACAGTTCCCAACAGCTGAGCCCGTTCCTCCTCCTCTCCCTCACTCATGTTCACATGGAACTGTCTCTTGCCTTGTCAGGGGCACCGCTGAGGACTCTCACTCCATCTCCTTTGTACCCTTCCCATGCAGGCAGGAAACTCTTCATATTTGTGTAAGATTTACCATTACGGCATCCGGTCCTACCAGCTGTGAAAAAAAGCAATTATCACAACAGAGAAAGTAAATTCATCCCACATATTTAGATGTTGTGTCATTTATTAACCCTTTTTTCCTCAACACAAAAATAAATTCCCGTAACAACATGTTGAATTTGTCGTTTGGGTTATGTCCAAAATCCCACTCTCAAAGTCAGAGCTGACTGTGACTGCACTGGGGGATGTGGACAGGAACAAACTGATTTTAGCAATACTGGGGGGGGAATAATAATAATAAAAATAAAAAAATATATTACTACACATCAGAAAAAATAATTTAATTTTTGGAGACAGTTTAACTGTGGTGGCACACTTCTGGGAAGACTGCATTAAGGATACCTAAATTATTCTGACACGCCATTTGTTATACTCAATTTTATTTCCACACAATTTGACACAAAATAAGCCATTTTTATAATACAGTTTGTCATGAAAACTGCTTAGTAGGACACAAAAGAAGTAATATTACTTGGAAAAATTCAGCAGTTGTCTGCTTTCAGCACGAGCAGTTACCACAGAAGAGGTGCCATTATTGTATAATAGTGGTTTCTGTAGAGGTAAGGGATTATAGAAGAAACAGAACTCCATAGGAGAAGAGCCTCACGCTGTTCCTTATCAAAACTACAAAACCAAACCAAGCGAGGAAAACAAGTTCTGCTTCGCCAAAGGGACAACACTGACATTTGAAGCCAAGGGAAAATTCCAGAATTTCATAGAAGAGAGTTATCAGGTAAATTTTAAAGTGAAAACCCACTTTTGTGTTTAACACTATTCAGGTGTCACACGACATAAGAGAACAACACATTCTCAAAACTGGAATATGAATTATGTCTTATTGGCAATATTATTTCAGGTCACTACTGCACCAGACATTCAGTAATTTACAAGTGTTAATAAAGCCCCATCAAGTCTCTGTCAGGTGTGTTTTGTAGCTGGGGATATGGAGGCAGAAAGGTCAACAGCCCAAACTCCAGAAACATACACTGTCCCTCAAAATCAAAACCCAGGCCATCAGGTTCTTGCGTCCCTACACCACAAAGGAGCCGGTTTCAAATTCAGGGAAAAAGCTTCAAGTTTCCATTTCTCAGTTCTTAACAAGAAAGATTCTTGTTGATTGTTAGATCGTACAAAGAGCTTTCCCCAGGCATACGTCTGAGTAAGCTCCTACAACTCACTACTTCTTCCACCCCATACACCGTGTCCTACAAATACTGATAAAAACAGTTTGTGTAGTTGTGAAAAGAGAGGACACTGACAGAGTAAAAATAATAATAAAAAAAACCAAAAAACAAAAAATGAACAAACATGAGAGAGAAAGCGTGCTGAGATGCAGCTCTGCTCCAGAAACCCAGCCCCATACATCAGGGAGTGCCAGAAGCTGCTTCAGCATGTGGCAGAGAGTGTCTTCAGCAAAAGGGGAACCGAAAGCGGCATCTGTTTAAGATAGTAAATATGCTGTTATATAAATAACCAACAGCCAAAAGCTTTACTCATTAGTTGTATGGTTTATTTAGACAAGACAAAAGCTTGTATACTTTTGTAACTGTTTACAGAAATGAAAATATCTGAAATATATTAGGTTCCCACCCCCGTATATTTAATTCTTGGAAAAGTGTTTTGTTTAAGATTCCCGTTTCAGCAGCACATAGGCTCCCATTACTGCCAGAAGAGCATACTGAAAAAGAAAACAGAATAAACTGATTATAATTTATCCTCACAGGAGCACACTGGAATTACAAATCACTCAATGTGCCCTGTCCAACACCACACCTTCACCCTCAGAGAGCTGTGTTCCCATGGAACCACAGGAACATTTTAATGCCATTATATTCATTGCAAATAGGCATCACAACCCCATGCACTTAACTTAGGACATTCCTATAAATTACATGTTTTCAAACAATTACAGATCCCAAGTTCTACTAAGTAACAGATGAGCTAAAATAAGCACAAGAACACAGCTCATTTTACATTAGGTAACAAAGCACAGAAACAAGTTTGTTATCATGCATTCTTACATGCAAGACTCTTACTACCTTTACTTGCTATTTTAGCATTTTAAATTTAAGTATTCAAAATGCCTGCATACATACCTTAAATTTTGGATAGTCGTTCATTATTATAGTGACCATACCAACATAAGGCAAAAATCTGTAATTGACAAAATAGATGAAGGTAAAATGGACCCTCAAATATCACATGGAAAAATTTCAATGTTACTCCGTCTTGAATATTTTAGATAATGGATTTCAGAGGGAAAAAAAATAAGACAGTAAGAGTTTTAAAAACAATATGTACTTAATGAAAATTTGGGAGCAAGATTTCTCAGATTTCCCTCTCCTACCACACTTCATCTTGCTGCATATTATTTATAGCATTAAAATATACATGGATCCAGAACTGGCAAGTTCAAGAAACACCACACCAGATCTAGTTTGTACCAACTGCAGAACTGATTTAAATTCTAAATCTTCTGGTTTAGTTACACAGAACAGACATTTTGCATTACTCACCCTCTTGCTCTTCCAACAACATCCTTCTTCTCTAACCAGTTCTGACCTTCTTTGTACAAGCCTCTATCATCAACTTCATTATTATCACCTTTCGTCAGGAATTTGATGTTCCCATTTTCTCTAGAAGGCAATGAGGTGATGAACTAAATACCACTTAATTTTAAAACCTCAATTAACATCTACAAAGCACAAGGAAGATGAGAAGTGCTACAAGACTAGATAAGAATGTTTGCTTCTAGCCCTGCTTATTTAACAAACACCATTAAATCATCTCAACATCACGGCCTTTACCGACAGAGTCAATAGATTTTGACAAGAAGTGTTTTTTAAAACACTCCTAGAACGTCAATTGATGTAATCAATTACACAGCAAACACCAAAGCGGTATCGTCCATCAGAGCAGGCACCAAGCTTCCTCAACAAAAGCAGTATGTGTCCATCTGGGAAAGAACCCAGCCCTCTGCATTGTCCACAGAAGAGAAATTCAACTCAGAAATACTGAATAATATACTACTAAGAAGGTTTGATTATTTTTTTTTTAAATTTTGGGGTAAGATCCTGTGAAGTCATCACACATTAGAGAATGAATTCAACTGAATTTGAATCACAAATTTCAGGTGAGGTAGACCCTACAAGCCTTCCCTTAGGGAAGAAAATGGTATAATAATGCAATGCTTCAGGGAATTTCCTTCCAAGTTCTACACAATTGTTTAACTCTTAGCAATCACATTTATGTCAAAATAAAGCTTTGTCCTCCTTGTGACTGAAATAAACATTGAAGAGCATCTAAGGCAGCTGCAAATCTGCATCAAATTCAGTATTTTGTCACTAACACTGCCAGATGTTTTAGGTCACTCATTAATTGTTAAACAATATGGTGAGTTCCAGGCAAAACCTCACTGTTTGGTATTTATTCATGTGGCAAATAAAAAATACATATAACCACATAACCTTTCCCTGCTGCTCCAAATTAACAAAGTATCTTGCAGTACATTTTGAACATGACATACTTTAACCCCTGCTGACAGAAAGCTTGCCAGGTTTCACTCCCTGTCAGGCATTCGGCACACGTGCAGGGGACACCTGCAAGGCTTTGGCTCGACACTCCCATTTAAATAAAGTTATTAAGTTTGCAGTCTTCAAAATTATTCTGCTTGAGAAGCTGCTAATTGCAAGTAATGTTATCAAGAAACAAGGTGTTTTTATGAAGACAAATTAACTATTAAAATAAAAACTGGTAATTCAAAAGAGGTATTCTTGGATATACATAGTTTCAAAAAAGCATTGAAGAATACATATTACCCCACAGATAAACACCTTCAGTTCACCGCCAGGACTTCTGAGGAGCAAATAAGTCAAGGCTTGCACCTCCAGGTCAGCTTTTTGCTGTGTGTAACTAGAAGCAGAATTGCCTCTCTTTCAGAAGGAACTGTACCAGGCACATGCAATAAGGGTAAAACCAAGTAACCTCCCTGCTGCCTTCAGCATCGATTGTTGTTGGCTTTGTGACTAACAGACACAGAAGGAATAAGAACCTCTTATTTCATTCCGAGTCAAATCTCTTCTCTGGAAAACTTCAGTTAGCAAAGATCACACACTTGTCAGACTCCATCTATAGTTCTGACCCTGAATCTCCACCTTCTGTCATAGATTTGCTTTTAGAAGTAGCTATTTCTCAAAACCCCAATTCTACACGAGTCAGTACAGAACTGGGCTCTGCTCCCATCCATATTGCTACCACCAGCAAAATAACCCATACAGCTGGTGTTACTGCCACTGGTTTACCTACATCAAACCTGAGCAGCTTCCCTGAGGGACAGGACTCGGGGTCTCAAGAAGCCGTGCCACAGAATTTGGAACAAGCATAGATCATACCCTAGAGATGAGTTCTACCTTACAGCACATCCTCACTGGCTTTCTTCATAAAATACTAGCAAATTAAAATGTTAGTGAAAGTCACAGTGAAAGAAACTACGTTTAAAAACAAGGAAAATGTCAAGTTGCATTACTTTTCATGTATTTTGATTACTCTGTGAACTATTGGAATGTCTCTGCCTTCAACTTTAAAAACAACTATTTCACCAGCTCTGATTGGGTCATCATGGAAGTTCGTTAAGAACAACAGGTCTCCCCTGTGAAACGCTGGTTCCATGCTGCCACTACAAACAAAAAGAGAGAGTTTATTAGCATTATAGCGAATGAAAGAGCCACCATGTAAACAAAGAACATTTAATCCTCACAGATAAACTCACAATTTTAACTGAAATCTGTAGTAACACCACACAGACACTTAACACAGGCTAAGGCTCAGCAAGTCCCGAGCTGAGCCAGCCTACAGAAGGTTTCCTCACTGCCTCAGTGCAAGGAAGAAATAAGTACATAATTTACTGATAAAAGGGGGTTTACTATAATGCAATTTTAAAATACAAACACATATGGTAAAAACAAAAATAATAAAAAAAATTAATAGTCCAGGAACTGTATGATGGCTTCTGGAATGAGTGCAACACTCATTTTCTTCAGCAGAGCACAGACACGTCACAGGAATACATATATTTCTGTGAAAGAAGAACTATTTTTTTTGAATCCTAACACCTACACAGGGATTACCATCCCTGGGCTGCAATATGCATATACTTGAGTAATATCTGTTAATTAAGCGAACAAAACTAGATTTTCAAAGGCTTCACATATCTACTGCTTCTACAAACTTCAATGAAAACTAGACTGCAATTACACAAGCAACCTTTGCTAAGTGTCCCAAACCAGAGTTAGAAAATAAGCGTTTGAGCACTTCTTAAAGTAGGTAAGACTTCAAGCTCCAAATCTATCCAAGGGGAGGAGACAAAGAACAAAACAACATTTGGCCTTTACCCTGACTCACCTGAGCACCACAACAATAGGGCTTTCACTCCCAGTGATGACGATCAGCCCTTTCCATATCATGAGGGCAGAAGACACTATCATCGCAAAATTTAAGACTTGGTAATACAGCTACAGGAAACAAAAAATAAAATTGTTTTTAAAAGTTACTGTGTTGTATTTAGAAGCACAACCCAAATGTAGAATTTCAACCCAAATGCACCAGCGAATCACAATCCAGGCACGTGGACTTTCACGCTACAACCGCATTCCAACAAAAGCCCGATGGAACCGACTGGGGACATCCCAGCCCCCCGGCCCCCGCTGAGGCACACGGTCCCAATCCCGCGTGTGCCCAGTCTCATCCCTCTGGAGCTCTCATCCTGAAGCCAGCGAGCTCTCTGGCAAAGACTTCTACACCACAGAAAGTTACATGGCAATTGATGACACATCCCCGACTCCTACCTGAGCTCCTAAGTATTCAAAACACACATAACAAATATCACAACGTAACAGAGGCACTGTGGGGTGGAAGAGAGACGACAAAGGATAATTTCCTGCTGTTGTCAGGCAGCAATTTTTTATGAGGAAAATCTTTTATCGATTTGACTAACTTTCTGCTCCCAAATTCTACCACTTTGCCAGCCACTGCAGCAGTGGATAGATTTTCTTCATGCTACCTCTTTTTTTGTTATTTTAAAATTTTTCTTGGCAGCATATGAAGACACTCTGGTGGAAAACGGCCCTGTCCATCTCCATTTATCATCTGGCTCACTGATGGGAGACACAGAACCAGGGATTTCCTGACCATCGTTCTAGTTTGCAGATCCATACGCCGGGGTTTCCAGGTGTATGACTCACTGAACTTCACTGGTCAGGCTGCAACATCTGCTCTGAAGTGCTGGGTCTTTTAAAACGATGGGTAAATATTAAAAAAAAGCAAACCCCAGCAAGGAAGTGTCACAGCCTAGGAACCGGAAGGTTTGTCACCCGTCTTATGTTCTCCCTTCCAACCGGTTATTCGCATCATGACGTAGTAACGGTAAAGACCTCTATTTTGAACTACAGCAGCCCAAAACTGCCCGTCTGCTTCCACGTACTCCAGCAGGAAGCCGACCAGTGACACTAAGTAAAACCGCGGATTCCCAGCTTTCCGCCCAAGGTGCGTGGCGGGGCGACCTCAGGGGCAGCAGGCGCGGAGAGCCCGGCCGGCCCCAGCGGCTCGCGGGCTCCGGACCTCCGGGCGGCCTCCGCACCCCGGCCCGGCCCTCGACCCGCCCGCTCCGGGATCCCCCGCTACCTGCCGCTTGTTCATGCGCCGCAGGTCCCCGAAGAGATCCATGGCGGCCCCGGGGAAGGGCCGGGCGACCCCTCAGGAGCTGGCGGCGGGTGCCGGTGGCAGTCCCAGCGCCGAGCGCGAGCCGCAGCGACTGCCGGCCCGGGGGACCCGACACCGCTCTGCTCCCCGGGAGTTGTAGTCTCCCGCCGCCGACACCCCGCCCACGCTCAACTGCCTCCGCGGCCGCCGGACTACAACTCCCAGTATGCATCGCGGCAAGCGGCCCTGAGGGCGAGGCCCCTTGCCTGCTGCCTGTGGAGGTGCCTGACCAGTTTGCTCTACAAGGGGGCTCCCGGTGGGCGCCGAGACCCCACAATAGGGCGGATCGAGTCAGACTCGCCTGCGGAGCCGCATAACGGCGGCACCGGCCCCTCGAGTCGCCACCGCTTTGGGTCAGGCGGCCGTCGGTTAGCTCTCCCCGCCGCCGGCGCTGCGTGTGCGCGGCCCATTGGCGGGCGGGGGTGGGCGAGGGGAAGGGAGCGCCGGGGGCGTGGCCAAGCG